CAAGTTTTTTTACATACACAATTCTTTTGACCTAAATATTTATTTTTGATTGATTTCAAAGGTTGCAATCATAAAAATTTCCACATTCATTACATAATATATATAAAAACAAATATTTGAGAAAATGAATAATAATTGCCTTCCTTAAATCTTTTAGGGAAATATGTTTTTAATACAATGTCAGGTTTCTTTTCATAATACAGTGGACATATTCAACAAAGAGTTAACAGAGCGTAATGTTCGGAAAAAACTTGCAAACCATACATGACCCGTTTTTCGAGTTAGGGGACAGAAAAAGCGGAGGGATTTTAGTATTTTTTAGCGGGACAGAAGTTTTAATTTAAACGTATTTTACTTTCCGTTTAAGACAAAATTCAACAGTATATATTTAAAAGTTCAGTCTATTATAGTTAATTAAAAACCTTACACAGTAATAAACACTAATAAACATTGCTTTCTGAGAGAGGCGAAGAGTCTTGTGTTGGTGGCGGAGGAGAGCCTCTCACTTGACTCATAGAAGCTTTAGGCTCACTCGGAGACTCTTCTGCTGGAGGCGCTAACGGTAGAGCCGGGGGCTTTACCTTGGAGAGAAACATGATGATGGGTGGTTGTTGTCTTTGTTTTTTCTTTTCCTTCAAAATTCACCTGTTTAAGGACATAACCCCGTCAACGCGATTGCTGAACTCGACAGGTCGAGCCATATTGTCGTCAATGTCTTGTGCAAATTGTTGCATCGCTGTTGCCATGTTGCACAATTGTTGCAGATTCTCCAGTGTAAGGCCACGCTTTTCAGTTCCTTCTTAGTCTTTCTCTTCGTTTTTTTCCTCACTTGCAGACTTTCTCATCTCAAGAAACTCTTCATAGGTCAGTGGGTCCGAGTGGCAATCGATAAGGGCGCTGAGGTCTTCTTTTGTCATGTTGACAAATCCTTCATTCCTTATGATGTGAGCCAGCCTCATCGCCTTCTCCACCGCTGAATGATAAACTTCTTCAGGAGTGAAGCCTGGATAGTCGTGTACCACGTTCGGCAATAATTTCTTCCAGCTAGAATTTATGGTCTCAGGAGGCAATTACCAATGTTAATGCTCGTGATATTGATGTACAGGGATCGACAAGGAAAGCTGTGACTATTATGAAAAATTATATTTATGGTAAATGGAGGGAGGAGTGAGAAAGGTCTGATCGAAATAAAGGTTACATGAAATTTGTTAAACTTAGAAATGGTTTATGTTATTCAGACATTGATGTTAACCAAATAATTACAGGTCATGGCCGTTTTCCTTTCTATTTTAAAATGTTTAAATTACCAGAGTCTGACCTCTGTGATATCTGTAAAGAACCGGGCACTGCAGAGCATTAAGTGGAAACATGTAAATATTTTACTGATATCAGGAACGAGTTTAAGAAAAATGATGTTTTTAATATATATAATATTTTAAATGATTTTAAAAGACTGAAAAAATTTGCCAGGAAACTTATGGAGATGATTAACCATAATAAGCTTGCAGTAGGGACTTTAATCTGAATTTTGTTTTTTAGTTATGTTCTTTATGTCTGTTGAAGGTACTGTTTCTGGCTTGCTCTGGCGCAGCCCGCAAAAAGGCCAAAGGGCGACGTAAAGTCTGCCAGGAGGGTCTGGCTGCGTCCCTCATATCATATCATATCCTATCATATCACTCTTCATATCCTTTAATGCTCGCTGAATATTAGACAAACAACATGAGGCAATGTCGTAACTGCGCCAGTATGCTTTCAAGGTGAATTCGTCATTGCAATCGTCAACTGCCGAGATGAGGCCCTCGATCGTGGAGCGAGGGTAGAGTGCCGTAAAGGCACGAAAGACACCTTGATCCATTGGCTGAATTATGTAGTGTTCGGGGGGCAGAAACTCTATCTGCACACCGTCATATGGCAGGTCCGTTGCATGGCCTCCTGCATAGTTAATCAGGAGAAGGACCTTAAAGGGGAGGCCCTTTTCAGCCAGGTACAGCCTTACATCGGGAATGAAGCAATGGAGGAACCATTCAAGTGTCAGAGCTTTCGTTCTCCAGGCCTTGGAGTTATGCATCCAGAACAAGGGCAGCAGAGCAGTATTTTTGTTTTTTAAAGCACGTGGATTTTTTTGCTTTATAAATAAGGCCTGTCTTAAGCATAAAACCTGCAGCATTACCAGCCATGATGACAGTCACACGGTCTCTGTGAGGCTTGAAGCCTGGCCTCTTCTTCGTCCTTGAAGAGGAATGTACGCGAAGGCATCCTCTTCTAAAAACGGCATGTTTCATTCATGTTAAAAACTCGTTCAGGTAGGTAGCCTCCCTTTCTGACGAAGTTAGGAAACTCTTTCTTCACGTAACGACAAGCAGCATCGTTGGCAGCAGAGGAAGCCTCACCATACGGAAGTGCGTTTCTGGGACCGTACCTATTTTGAAATTTTTCGGAAATTTTTCAAACCAGCCTTTGCTGGCTGAAAAGCCTCGTCCCCGAGGAGGCGAATCACTCCTGGTAGCGCAATTACTGGCTTGAAGTTCGTCAGCACCTTGTTCACCCTTTTCATAGTCGTCATTGGGCAAGATTTGGTCGTAGAGAGCTTTGGCCTTCGTCCTGATCATATTAGTGTCCAAACTCACTGTCTTTTTCCTGCAATCAGCAATCCACAATGCCAGTACAGCTTCCATATTCACCCCGTAATGGTGTGCCACAGATGCAAAACTTCTGCGCTCTTTGATCATATCTAAAAGTTTCACGCTTTCGCTGATAGTCATCATCTTCTTCCTCTTGGGCGCCCCGGAGGAAGCTTTCGCAGGTGCACAGCGTTAGCGCATTATAGGGCTTAATTAATAAAAAAGTTATCCCTTAAACGAAAAAGTTATCGCCAACACAACACTAAAATACAGTATGCGAGACAGTCAACATCATGGACAAGAAGTTATTCATTAAACGAAACAATAAAGTAACTTTGCTTGTCCTTGGATGTTTGTACAGAAAGCGAAATCAAGATCATTATAATCAACACAAATGTAAACACATATTTCTGCATGAGTGGTCGGAATGCATAAATACACTGGTTATCATAAATTAAGGAAAAATCACAAAAAAAGCGATAACTCCCTCAAAAATAAGCCAAACCATGTAAAGTTTGAATATGTCGCCAAGTAAGAGTAGCTGAGTAAACTCCAATTGCAAATTAGTGGGCGAGCACTCCGAATACGTCATCTGCGAGGAGCATAAAAATCCATGTTTTGAGAGCAAGCCCACATATTTCACTGTGATGTGACATCAGAACTCGCGATAGCCAATTCGTAACAATTGCCTCCAGGCATCATTTGCCTGCAGCTCGATAGAGAGCCATTGGGAGGACTAGACACAGGACAAAGTCAACAGAAGTGGCAGATGGCTAAATTGAGTCCTTCTGTGGTCATAGACTTTAAAGGCAATTTCAAATCACAGATTCGGCACCTAGGAGTTCAGCCAGGACGCCAACTGCTACGACGAGCGCCGATGACCGATATTTGAATTATGCTCACTCAGGAATAGGAACCCGCTATTGCCGACTCTTCTTAGATCCTTCCTTGCTGTCAGCCACCGGAAGCTGGTGTCAACGTCAACTGTGCGTAGAAGGCTTCACGAAGGTAGTCTGTATGCGAAGCGAACAACATTTGGCGGCCGCTCAAGTCACGCCATAGGGAGGGATCGTTTGCATGGGCACGACAACATGTCACTGGCACCTGAGCAGAGGAGGCTATTCTCTTTACGGATGAGTCAGGTTAGTCTAGAGAAAAGCGATAGTTAGGCGTTATTGATATGGAGGAAACCTGGAAAACCCGTTATCATCCGTCAAAAATCCATGAAAGGATGCATACGGAAGAGGCATGTCTGTGTTTTGGGTGGCATCTCTTGGGTGGATTCACAGACCTCAGTTTTCCAAGGGGACCCGTAAATGCTCATGTTTTAGAGATGACATCCTTGATGCTTATATGCGCCCATATGCCGGGGCAATAGGAGAGATGCTTTTCTGTTTACAGGACGACAATGAAGACCACACAGGAGTTCGCATCGTAGATGAGTTATCTTCAACCGGAACAATTAGCGCATGAAGTGGCCAGCTCGATCCCGGACTTGGAATCCTATCGAGCACATTTGGGGTTCTTAGGGAGAAGTGTAGCTGCTCTCATCCGCCCCCTTAGACCCTTGCCGCGGTTGTAATGCTTTGCAAGAGCAATAGCTCTCGCTCCTATGGAACTGAAGACCGCATAATTGAAAGCCTCACACATCGTGAATGTGCCTGTATTGCTTCTAGAGGCGATTATATCCATATTGAAGTACTTTTACTATAGCAAACTGACATCTTCGATTTGTTCATTTTATACATGTGCTAATTTTATACTAGATATTGTCTGGTAATTGTTTTTATATTTGATACCTTACTTTATGTGTTGTATATTGTGGGTAAGTTTCATAAAATTCTACGTGTAACTTTTTCCATAATCGTGATTTTTGTGATTTTTCCTTAATTTATAACCAGCAGGGGCGTAGCTAGAGTTTCCAGCGCCCGGGCACAACTGAAGAATTTGCGCCCCTTTCTGTGTGACAAGAATGGAAAATGTTTCATTAAAAAATTTCGTAGCATCAGTTTGGCGCCCTTGGATGCTGCACCCGTGGACAGATGCCCCCCCTTTCCCCACCCTAGCTACGCCACTGATAAGCAGTGTATTACAAAAGGTGTCTCTAAGCAACTGGCCGGGTGTCTAGCATCCCAATATAAATCGGCTAGTCGGACGGTTAGATACTTATAGTAGCCAATGAACTTGGAGCTCATTGGGCTTTTACTGGCTAACCGTCTGAGTCAGACGGGTGCACCCGTCAAACTGTGACATAGTGTACAACCGCGAAGTAAATGATTGTAAGACGACTGGTAAGTGTATTTCTGTCTTTTGCGGGAACTTTTGCTCTTTTCCTAATGCGGTTGTAATTTTTTTTTCGGTGGAAGAATAACCGAGAAGTACCGGGTAGTTAAATTACGTTGTCCGAGCTTATAAATTTTTAAATTGTATGCCGTTACATTTGAATGTTTTCCGTAACAACCATAACAATCGGTTCGCTCAGTTATTTTGTGTCTAGTATTGCTATAGTTTCTCTTTTCGCTTTACATAAGTTCGCGGAAATTCCATTATCTATCTTGGTGTAAAGGAATGTGATTGCGAATGATTTCAGACTAATATATAAACGCACTTGAGGAAACTCTTAGTTAGAAATCAGGAAATCTAATTATTCGAATAATTACCAGAGCTAAAGTTTCCAGTTGTGGCATGCATTAAGTATTGTTAGGTGTCCAGATAATACAATTTTTTGCCTTATTATGAAAGCAAATATAATCTGAATATTGTAATTTTTCACAGGTTGGTATTTATCTCAGGCGTGGAGATGTTTCGTTTTCAGTGTAATTATTAAAAATTACTCAAGGTATTTACTATTTTTATTGTATGTATCTTTGATATAAACAGTGTGCAGAGATTCATTTTCCATGACTGAATGTTAAAAAATGGAATGTATTAATCGAAAGAAAATGGACACAACTTTTGGTGTGAATACAAACTTATTTGATACATAAAAGGCTTGTTTTTATTCTTTACAATTCAGTGATTGTTCAAAGATTGAGTTTGGAGTATTTTTAAGGAATATTTGTTGCTTTGACATAGCATAGATCGGTATTTTACAAATTTGTTGGCCAGTAGAAATATACTAAATTTTCTTTCTTTTATTTCTCAACTGCCCAATTTATCTTGCTTAGGCTAACTAAAGTTTCTGGCTTTTCTGTTTTGGCATTTTGTGCAAGTTTCACTGCTGTGTATTTTTTGTGATGTAAAAACTCTATGACAGTACACAGTGTGTTGTCTAATTTCATTTAAATCACTGTACTGAATAATTTTTCTAAATAATATTTTTAGTTTTTTATCCATGTTTTCACTTCAGCTTTTCTTTCTATTTCTGTGTGGAGGTTTTTCTAAAGGAACTACTGTGGGTATTTACTTTAACATATGTCTTCAAAAGAGGATAATAGCAAGGATTGCAACATTGATTGCACATAAGCTTTAAAAGGAATATTATAGTTTAATATATTATAATTCTTAGGCTGCTAAATTATAATGAAATGCTGCAAAATTACAGTGAATAGTGATAAAAAAATTACCTCATAAAGTGTTTTCATATAAATTATTTTAATGCAGTATAGGAAATCGGATAGAAAAATGCTGCTCCCAATGTATAGAATGATGCTGAATCCCTGCAACCACTTGAAGTGTGAAATGTGTGTTCATGATTAATGTCAATACAACTTCAAATGTATTCCCTAGCTAGCAACTGTTTGAAGAAGACGTATGCAAACCTCAGCTATTCAGGAGAAAAATCAGTGAATCTTTACATTATGGTAACTTGGCGATTTTTTGACGAAAATTTGACGACCAACCCTGCTACAGCAACCTGCTAGTTTTGTTTTGGACGCCATTTTGTTTTCACAAAGTAAAGACGTGCTTTTTTTTTTTTTTTTTACTCAACACTTTTTCCAACAATCTGCTAGCCGAATTACGCTTATACTAGAACTTTTATGGAACAAAAATGCTTAATATGATGAAGATTAGGTGCGAAATTGGGAGAAAGTGCAGAATCGCAAACTGCTTGCCACGTTTTTAAGAATTGCACACACACTGTATACAGGTACACGTCGACCTATTTTCACTTAAAAAAACTTCCCAGAATTGCACAAAAATGGCATTGTGCACACTCTTGACTTTATTTATGTACACATCGACCTATTTTTACTTAAAAAGTCAAAGAAAATTGACAAAAATCCAATTCTTCTTACTCTTGTAAAAAGCGCTAAACAAATAAGTGGGTGATTCTGCACTTTAGCAGTGAAGTTGTTTCTAAGTGCTTATTAGCTAAAATCACGATCGGAATTTTTCAGAAAATGTCACATTACATGTCTCATGATCTCTCATTTTTCTGAGACAAAGTAATCTGTGTTTCGAACTGTGTACTTCTCAGATTATTGCTAAAATCCTAGCTAGTAACCTTTATCGCCTTACTAAAATGTCACCAAACTACTTGTTACCATATTCTAAAGATTAGCCGAAAAATCACTTGTATGGCATACCTGTTTTTCTCAAGTATTATGTTCTCTATTCTTACATTTTGTAAAGAAAATTTTTATGCTGGTCGTCTGAAGATTCAACTTTTGGACTGTGTACTGTATAATCTAAATTACAATGTAATTGAAGTTATTACAGTGCAGTTATGTGTCTAACTGTGGCTTAGAAGTAGGATTGGTCACTGAATTCAAAGTATACTTTTGCTATAACTAGAAAATGTGAAAAGAAAATTAGTGACTTATGTATAGTGAATAACATTGGTATAATATAACATTGAGAAAGTAATAAATTTCAGCAACAGACAATCCTAAATTAGTCAACATAAAAAAAAGTCCCTCCAATGTGAAGAAAGATAACGAAAGATAGATATTAAAATTTTCAGAAACTGCAGTTAATTGCAAGGTTTGTTTGTATGCAACAAATGAAAACATAATTTTTTTTTTTAAATCTGAATTTTCCAACTATAATTACAGTTGTTTTATTACTTCACTTTATATAGAAATGGTCTAAAATGGCAGATTAACAGCAACATAAAATAAAAATTGAAGTTTTCTCAATTATTATTTTTAAAATTAAATGTGGTACTTATGTAAAACCCATCAATCACAAGAACGGCCAAACAACAAAAAAAAAAAAAAAAAAAAAAAAAAAAGATTATAATCAAGAAAAAGATATGTTTTATTTCAATTTTTAAAATTTATTAATTTATAAATTTCATTATTTTAAAAATCTAAACTACAGTCAAAAGTCTTTAATCCGGACTTCGGCGATTCGGATTATAGATCATCAGTTTAAATCTGGTAAGATGGCATGCAGAAATTATAAAATGAAAAATATGAAACCGTAATTTATGAAATAAAGAGCAATTATGATCTAAAGGGTATCAAAATTTACAAAAAAAAAAAAAAAAAAAAAAAAAAAGCTTAATATTTATTTGTTTACTTTATTAAACATTTCTTTCAACGCGCGCATGCGTAAAGCATACATTACGCATAGTCGAAAGTAGAAAATTGCAACCAGAAAACTATTTGATTTGTATTCGTGATATTTATAATGACGAGGAATTTGATTTAAATCATATCAAAGACTGAGTACATCGAGATGAAATCTACATTATAAGCCGAATAAAATAAAAACATCTGCCCTGAAGATAAGGATAGTGCTGACAGATCAACTTCATTTCATGCGCCGCCGTCCCCCCCCCAGGCAGTGAAATGATACAGATTCGAATGTTAGAAAAAAGGATAGCTTTTCATTTTTTGCAGCATTCACTTTTGTTATGGCATCAACATGCTTTCCTTTTAGATCCTTGGCAGCCAGATCGGAATTCTTTTGACGTAATGAAAGTTCAAGCTTACTTTTATAAAAATTGCTCTAACAGTCTGCAAAATAATAAAGCCAATCCAAATTAGAAAAAGCATAATCTGCAAAATTAACTGAATTAATTAGATTTTTTAGCTTAGCTTATACCATCCGTTATACATTAAATGTGCATGCGTAAACGTATTATGCGCATGTGTCAACGCATGCCCAGAAAGTTTGTAGCTTTGAGGTCCGGATTAAAGACTTTTGACTGTATTTTCGCTAGCTTTTTCCTCGAACCATGTTCCCTTTCAAATTGGCACTTGCTTCATATGAGCCTTAAAGTTGCAACGCCATCGCTTCTCAGTTTTTAAATTAAAGCGCCATGTTGTGGCCATTAATACATATTTTTGAGGCCAGTAAGATTCCATAACTTTGGAACTATTCAACAGCATGCTCTTCTGTAATAGGCAGTTCCCAAATTTTAATCTTTTTTTTTTTTTTTTTTTTTTTTTAAATGCGTGAGAAAGGAGAAAAAAGGAGTTTTTCCTCAAGAATAATAACTAACACATGTAATCGAGGTTACACCATACCCAGCATATTTGAAGAAGACTTTTCAATTTTTGCCAAAAAATTGTGTAGTTTGGCGTCTTTTCTTTAATAGGCAAAAATTGTCGACATTTTCCGCAAGTACCTTAAATGTTGATGTTGTGTTTATGGTAAAATGGTATTTAAGGGTACCCCATGGCGATTTTTGGCGGTACATGGATACTGAGTTTGTGCAATTCTTTGACTTGTTAATTTGGCTAGTGTAGCGACAATTTTTGCACCAAAAGTCGTCGGTACACAAAGCTAAAAATAACAAGACAAAGAATGGAACAAACCCGGTATCCATGTACACATCAACTTATTTTCACTTAAAAAAGACATCCCAGAATTGCACAAAAATGGCATTGCACACTCCCTTTATCCATGTACACATCGACCTATTTTCACTTAAAAAAAATCAGAGAACTGCATAAACTAGACCTTGTGCACTCCCTTGAGTTTGTCCATGTACACATCGATATATTTTCACTTAAAAAAATCGAAGGAGCACCCAATTCTGCTGTAAACAAAAAATACATAACCTCAATAAACTACATTTTAAACCAAACAATAAAATAACATAAAAAAAGGAAAAACCTGTCATGCATTTAAGCACTACACAAAGCAATTATCCACTTACCTTATTTAGAAATTCCTTCATCTTCAGTCTGTGACACACAAAATTCCTTAACAGCATCCAAAAACTTCCTAAAATTATCTGAACTATAATCTGTTTATCGGCGTCGCCACATAAATTCACAAAAGCAAGAGTAAGAAATATGCTAGTTTTGGAGTGTCCGGAAAATTGCTACTAAGGAAACCTTCATTTACACACCAGTCAACCTTTTCCCCTCTCCTTCCAAATTGTACAGAAACTTCAAATTAATCTTACTACATTCAGCCATTCTACCTTCTAAACAATGAAACAAACAGTGTACTTCCTAACCAACACACACCACAAAAGCACTTACAAAACATTCCTTGATTCAAAATTTCCCGGGGTTTTCATCCGCAAAGAATCCGTTGGCGTTTCGGCAGAGAACCTGTTGCCGCCTGAAATGTTATCTTCAGGGGACTTTGGTTTTACTCGCCAAGTTCACCAACGTTTGATTGATGCCAAGGATGTTATGTGTACGGTTATGAGATATTAAAATCAAATAATTAATCAAAATAATTAAAGAATAAATAACATATTCAAGTTAGCTGAGAAAACAATATATTAAACATATGGAAGTGAAAATTCAAAATTAACCGGTTAAACGTGATATACGAAAATAAATTTGTATTGAATTAAAGTTAGCACAGAAAACAAAATATAAAGCCTAATGGAAGTAAAATAATCATGTAATAATGAGCTTTAT